AAACATTGTAATTCTATTCATTTTACTTATATTATGATTTTTTCTATACTAAATGTCGTGTTATGGTTCACACGGGTAATAAAACATATAAATATAAGCCACCCCATAGGCGATCCATCATGAATCTCTGCTCGCTCAGACATATACGAGTCCAATCACTTTTTTCTTCCACCACACTACCTCGTGACACTTCGTATCATATTAGCTTTATTTGATTGTAATACCAACTGTTACCTACATAATAAACTACAAGGGAATTTAACTTTTATATAATAGAATCACATATATATCTATGTAAATTTAATTCAGCTTTAAATCTCTAAATCATCTTTAAGCAATATTTATTTAAATACATACAATTATATTTAATTATATTATAAAATAAATATTGAATATCTATCGTACATAATATTACTATGCAGAAATTATCACTTATAAATTTTTGACGTCAGAAGAAAACAAAGTGAAATTTATAACACCATCTCCATCGGAGCTGGAATCAGATAATAATATTAATGCACACTCAGTTTTAACATACGAATATTATAAAAAATATATATTATTCAAAGTGTTTTTGTCGAGTGCAGCAAGAGATAGATTAGAAAGTTAATTGTAAGGCACAAATAAGTTCTGACGATGAGTCCGAGATAATTTCTAATGGAGTTTCCAGTACCCACGATGTATGGAGATTTTCTCTTTAGATGAAAAACTTATTATTAAAGCCCGAGTTCGTTAAATAATCGTTATTATATTTGTTTAATTATATTTACATATGAAATTTTATTTGGAATCATTAACTCATAGTTTTACTCATAGAAAAAATATTGAGTCTTATATTTTTATATGATCAACTCAATTGTAAATACCTTTACCTTTGTTTAAAGGTCGGTTTCAGGCTATTGTAATATTAAATACATTTTAATAAGTATTTATGGAGAAATTGTCATGTTTTTCCTTTTTGTCTTCATCAGATATACAATTTATTAATAAACATTCAAACGCTGGTTCACAGTAGGTTATTTTGTTTTCTATTTTCATTTGTCTCACCAACCTAATGATAAGTTGTTATTATATTCATACTGCAGTTACAATTTGAAATTTAAATATATATTCGTCAAGATAACTGTTCTCTGGCTAATTTTAATTTCATATAATATGCACTGTGTATCTGACCACCGAAATCACTATTTTTAATTGAAGTACCTAATCACAATCATCATAAAGTCTAAAATCGAATGTTATTATATTTTGAGGATGTCGTAGGTAGATCTTAAGAGCTCAGTTACCATCTGTCATTACATCGTCACAGCATCGCGTGGGAAATATTCTGTATTAAACAATGACATGAGACGAGCTAAACTGATTCTATCTCTGAATTCCACGATGTCCAATTGTCCACTCTATATATTCACTGTAATTGCAACAATGATATCAGCTTTAAAATATACATAATATTAATCTAGTCTGAATTTAGAACACAATTATACATCATAACCTTATTCTTATCCGTGTTTTGAAATAACTGGTCAAAATCATTTAAGTGTAACTAATATTTTTCGAATATAGGTACTACGCGACTTTATTTTTGATAAAAAACTACATAATCCCGACGTTTCGGCTACTTTTCAGCAACTGTGTTCACGTGAAAAGTAGCCGAAACGTTGGGAGTATGTAGTTTTTTATTAAAAATAAAGATGGTAGTATATCCGAAAAATATTAGTTTCATTTAAATGAATAAGACTCCCAAAAATCTTAGATCTCATTACTGGGGAAAGTGAAAAAAATGTACAGAAAGTATTAGTTATTTAGTTAAAACTAACATTTTTGTAAGTAAAATTCAATTCTTTCAGTCTACATGCCTATATAATTCACGTTGAATGCATAAATTATAACCTGCTGTATATATGGAGTGCATGGTATGTAATATGTAGGCAGTGGGCGGCACGCCATTCTATTCCCCGAAGAGGAAATCGTTACGGCCGGCAAATTGGGCCCTAACCACTGGGTAGTGTCACGCAGATGTTATTTACTTGGTGTTTTTAACCAAAATTAATGCTAAATAGATGTATTTATAAGGAACTGTGGGAAGGTAATTGGAATTCCATATGTATATGTATATTTTAGAAGCACTGCTGGTATACATAAATAATAATAAATACGTAGGGTACTTATACAGGATATAAGGAAATTTTGTAAGGGTAGGTTTAGAAGTTATAACAAATTATTTAGTAATATATGTAAGGATATGTATAAAATGATTTTTTACATTAATAAATTGGCTTATTGAGAATTTACGATCTATACTATCATTCAACATACATACTCGTAGATATATTATTGTAGTTTTTTGTGGTTCTTTTTGAAACATTGAGACTGGGAAATTATAAAAATCTCCTTTTTTTTATTTTCAATTAATATGAATTTGTGAGTTAAATATTTTCTATTGAGTTAATATAACATCCAAAAGTAATTATTATAAAGGAACGAAGTAAAAAAACTTTATAAAAACATTTAGAAAGAGAATTACGAACAATCTTTATTACTATAGTATATAGATCCTAATCCATTTCTTTTATGCTTATAAATATTGTTCATAAAATGAATACTTCACTCAATTCCTTAATAAAACAAATAAATAAGACGCTCCGAGATTTCTTAGTAATATAATATTGAATTTTTCCACACTCTCCATATCAATAAAGATTTATGGATGCAAAATTAGGAAAATTGTTATTTCGTAAGCTGAAAGATTTGAGTGAGACGTCGTTTTATAAAAATAGGATCATAAACAAATTCATAAGTAGACTGCGCTCCGTTTTATGCGTTTTTAAAAGGGCACCCTCGAGGGAGAGGAAAGAGAAATGGTACGAACCCTTGCTTAAACAAGAGGGAATGAATGGAACAATCTTAAATATCTAACAGACAGTGATGCAATGATTTTTAACCTCGACTTATTATAATATAAGTTTAAAAATATATATCGAGTGATATAAAATATGTCCATGAAGAAAATTACTAAGGTTTGGATGAAAATTAACAGAAAATTATTCAATATAATAAAGTATTGCAGACAAAATTGTATACACTGTATGACATAAAGTACTAATAAATGAGAAATGTTGTGTATTGTATTAACAATACGTGGAAGTAGTTCCATTTTATTATTTATTGAACATAAAATATGGTAACTTGCTGTTTCCAAAAACTCACTATAATATTTTCCTTATACAATGCATATTATATTACATCACGGCTTAATATAATATGATAAACCTTTGGGTGACGTGTGTGCCAGGAAATGGATTTGCGCCATCTCATGAATGGATGAATGATGAAAATTCATAAAATATAGTACTAAATACTTTTACAAACATCATTACCTATTCTGAAATATATTAAATTCGTTCAGTCGTTGAAAAGATTAATAAAAATAAAATCCAAAGTTAACGCTATATGGTGATGCTCCGAGACCTTGCAATCTATAAACCTCCATTATAACTCAAAAGCCCCATTACCCTTGAACTCGGTTTCTTGATAAACGACAACTTGACAATCTTGACACCAATTGCACCGTGCTTGTTAAAATCATTTGAAGGTTTCCAATGACGCGCTACATACATACATTGTGAAGAAGATCCAATATCAATAAGATTATGAAAGTTTTAAGAGAAGAATATTATGTATCAGATAGATTTTTTTCCTATATGATACTTCTATTTCATCGCTCTGAAGTTCTGATGTAAACAAAAACATGCTTCGTAATCAACCTTTTGTTATTAACTAATATTACAAAAACATAACCGAATCCAGGAAAACGCGTCACACAGAGGAAATTACATTTCATTGTCCATTCACATATGAAAACGTACCGAGAATTTTAATTCAAAAGAGCAACCCATACACATTAAAATAGGTTTAACCGCCAGCCGTTCCAGTTTGGAAAAAAATAAAATAAAACAAAAAAGGCGCGATCACGCCATACCTCCCGGGCGCGCCGCAAATTCCAGTGGAAAAAATCGTATTTCGTACGTGGTTTGAATTTTAATTGACATTCAAAGGCGAAAGCTGCGATGCTGTCTGGCTCGCGAAATTCACTACTTTTGAAGGGATCTCAATGCATACAGTTATGGCCATCGGATGTACCCTATAAAGAGGAAAATCTTGTTGAAATTTTGCTAATAAAATTCAGGATGTGGTTTAAAAGGAATGTATTATAACATGCTTTGAGATGCATTTATTGTAAAGCTGAAGACTGTAGCACTCCAGGACTTTCTATATAATCCCTCCAAAATAGAAATTACATAATATAGTACATAGTTTCAGTACTAACTGGATTTTAACTCGGATGTAACAATGGTGTTAAATATAATATTTCTATATCTAGATGATATCAGTCCGTTTTCATCATATAAATGTCGCGTGGTTCATTATCCCATCATTGTACATATTTTATTCAGCAGTGTTCATAACATTTTTAATAACTTTATTGTTGCGTCGACATTACGTGCTGTACATACCATGATGGTCTCTAAATTACAATAAACAATTTCGAGCGCTCATTATTCTCGAGCTCATTACGAGTCGAGCTTAAATTATTCGACACAAAACAGCAGTAATGTCGAATGTCCGCGAATAATTGGGATATAACCAAGAGATCACCTCCCTCTTCTGCATTTACATATTATTTTGTTTACTTCATAAAAAAAAATCAATTTTAATAAAGTATATCACAATATTGTAAGATAACTATCTAACCAAAACTTTCACTGTAATTACAAAAAAACAATAATAAGCAAAACACACATAATCTCGAGAAGAAACTAATGTTTTACTTCCATTTCAGATCGAGTAATGCATTTTGCATTAACATCATACAATTTGGATAGAACGGTTCATCTAAAGAAAGTCACATGTTAATGAAAATGCTAGCACATGCTGCGAAAAGAAAGACTTATTCGAGATACTAATGAATTCCACTTGATTTGTTGACACCGGCAGCGATGCAAGAGATATGCAACACCGCGCTGCCGCTCGACAGTAACCCATTGGTGCGCAAAATAAAATGCGAAGAGTTTCCTGTCAGAGGAAAGCAGCAGACGAGAATTGGTATGGGGGTGCGAGATGAGATGGAAGAGGAGTTCGCTGTGAAGACGAGGAACACTCCACCGATGGGGCCGGCACCAGGGCAGGAACATCGTATGGAGCATGGTGGAAATGGCTTCTGGCTGGCTGCCGTCACGGCGGCTGGAGCTCCTCATCCGATGCTCGAAACCTGTACGGAAACTGGCTTCATTAATAGCCAACCATCTATGGCGGAATTTATGACCGCGCTTCCCCAATTGGGAGGAGGTGAATTGAGCCCTCAACACACACCCCCAGGTTACGCACCTGATCTTCCTTCACCAGGCGGCGGCCTCAATGTCCCCGAGTATCCTTGGATGAAAGAAAAGAAAACAACTAGAAAGAGCAGTCAGCAAGGTCAGTTATTATTTATAATATATTTGAAAACTTTATCTGCTGTATATTAAAAAATATATTTTTGAATCATTACAAAAGCATGTCGACAGAACTATGAAAAAGATAATATTTCTTAAGAATGGAAAATTTCCTATTATAAGTGGTACTAACTGCTAGGTGAATAACGTAAGAATCATTATTGTGCCTTTCAACAGCAGCTACAAATGGCCATTCAACCATTCTGTTCTGGTTCACGGTCCCAAGCTGCTTTAATGAACATCAAATTACTCCGAAATATATTGAATTGTATGGAGCGACGACGTCTCATGTCTGTAACTGTTTTGGCTTGTGGTGGGAGTGGTATCGCTGGTGGTATTATCCGAGCCAGCGACCCGCCGCGCCGTCTAACGGAACGAAATTTTCGATATGCAGTATGAGCACAAATTATAAGTGAGAACATTTTAGAACATAGTTTTAACGTGTCGGTTCTGTGAATGCAGTATTAATAGTATGTTTTAGTTAAAAGCTAGCCTTCCATTACATTAGTAGTTATATTGCTCTAGTTTTTTGTAACTAAATGTAATACTATGATTTTGTAATATCTTTATTAAATATTAAATTATGTTAAAAGACTAAACACCCCAAATTTGTCGACGGGACACTAAACAATACTGTTCTAGATGATCCATCATCATATGTCAGACCCGTGAGAACGTGACCTCACCTGGCTTCAACATGTCCAATGTTCATTTGGATGTATTATAATTTGAATATAATCAATATAATCTACAATCAAAATAATGAAAACTTGAAATTTTACACAAAAAGAAAAATCATTCCAATACCGACATAGAATTTCAAAAAGCAATTATTGAATATTTTAAATTTGTATCCAAACTAAATCAAAAATGTATGTTTTGGTTTCTATTACTTAAAAAAAATCCCTTGTAATCGTGTTCCTGTATTTCATATTTGAGTACGATTAACGCTTTACTGTAACAGAAGCCGTCTCCCGCGGCGCTCGCTAGGGGGCCAAACGCCTCATTCAACACATTATATTAACGCTGCCCAGATACCTAGACTAATTTACTAACACTCTACCTTATATTTTAGCATCTATACAATTTTATTTCATATACTTATACATTGCTATATATCAGGAACTCTAAAAATTTACATTCAACTTTTGTTTTATTTGAACTAACGTTTCCGTCTTCGTCTTAACGACAGACATCCAAACTAGTTTATTTCTGTTTCCTGTTGTTTATTTTGATATAATAGAATTTCTCACACAAGAATTCATCTCAAAACCAAAACGGGGGTATTGAACAGGGATAATTAGCTACAGTTATCTAATACATCAAAATGTAGTAGCGTCGTATGGGATACATTTTTTATATAGACTCGTGCAGAATATATTCACAATTCGTGTATCCGTATCACTTTATACTTCTGATATAAGATAGGAGAGGGTAATCCGTCACTGTCACCGCTATCGAGCGGTGCACGCTGCACCAGACGCTTTGTGCTAAACTTAGATATTGGATTTACTAAGTTTTGACTGATTCTACAATGTGACTGCATAGTTTTCAATGACGTTTTATTAAAATATATAATAAATATATTTTAATCATCATATATTTTTAAATAACCAATGAATCAACATTACATTTCAGTTCAATTTCCGATTCAACCGTACTTTTATAATCAGATCAACTTATTTTAAGTAAAATATTTGATTTGCAACATAACGACAGAACTGCGTGACGTAGGAAATAAAGTAAAGCCCGTACCTTGCCTAATATAATAGCAGAGGCTTGCAGAAGGTAGGCATCTAGGGACATGAAACAAATCGTTCACAGGACCACGCCTCCAGCCTATCTCGGGAATCGAAATTAAAACGAACGCTCGCCTCGATCGATCATTCCGATTCATCTTTAATATGAAAGCATTATTTTTGCACTGTCTCAATTTGTTCGCGGTTGACTGACGTGTGATACTCAATTTATAAGCCACGTATCAAAATAGCGATGTAAAAAAATGGAAGCAGCTGCTGTATACGAAATACTACTGTTATTAATAAATATCATAAATGCATACACACTTTCAACCGAGTACATAGTGACATTTTAAAACAATTTAAAATTAAACAAGTTTTTAGTTTGCAAAATAAGAGTTTAAAGAAATACTATTTAATATGTAACCCGTTAATACTTCACACATCATTTAATTGTTTCTTTTTCAAACAAAAAAAAAACAGATTTATTAACATTAAACGTGTGTAAATCGCATGTTACATAGATAGTCTGTAACTAAACAACCAAAACGTTTACCATAACTTTATACGTAATGATGATTGCTGGAAATTTCGAATACGTTTATAAAATAACTGACATTGATCTAAATAAGGTTCTTACTACACTTATTCCATGTTTTTAGGAACTAACATATGAATCACTAAAGTTATTACACGATTTTTTTCTGTTCTATGTTGTGAATAATTAGTAATGTTATTATACTTTCTCTGCTGTGATGTGTGTTAAATAAACATAACAAAATCTAAAACAAATCTAGTTTGCCATTAATTCGTAAGAAAAATCAACTAATTGACTTTGTTAATGCAATAGTATTTTGTTTATTATAAAGGAACCATTTATATAACAGGTATATTAACAAATAGTTTTCGTAATATAACAAAAAATATAGCGAATCGAATGAACCAGACCAATAGTCAGGTAGACTGAATTAGTAATAGAAGGGCAATAAATCTTATGGCCGGCGCTCTTTGATTTATGTGAAAAATGACCGTAAATTTGAGGTTAGTCCAACCAAAAGTGTCCCCAATTACGTGTTGAACATAGTCAGCTATCTCGGCAGTTTAAGAAACTTTGGTTTCAAGGAGATTTGTAATATTTTTTATAATATATAAACATATATGCAGGAAGTCTGTTATAATCTGTATAATAAGTATAATTATAAACATTATTACACATTTCCAAGTATACAATACACGTAAATTACAATAACTATTTATTTTTTTCTCATATTATGTCACATTTTTTACAAAGAAACAAAAATTATGAATGTTTCTGTTTTAAATCGTATGTAATTTATTCTTTGAACATTAATTAAAAGGCTACTAAAATATCAACTCTAATTCTTGGGATAAATTAAAATTCTACTACATATATCTAGCATTAAAAAGATAATTTACTATTGACATTTCTATCTTGACCGAGTCAAATGTACAGTGTACATAAAAAATCAATAATTTTGACGAAATAAATCAAAAGTCTAATATAATATTCCGTATAATAACAGTATTCATAGGCTGTCAATACATTGGTATGATTTACGCCAACACTTTCACCTCTGTTATATCATTGGGACATAAATCAATCCTCTCCCGTAGCGTCCCTTTAAATGTTTCGTGCGCACCGGTTGCGAATTACGTGTCAACTTTATTCTGTTTTAGTTATTTTCATTAATTAAACTGAAGTTTATTTTGCGTAATGTCTATTGAATTATTTATACATTGAAATTATTTCATGTTTATTTGTGTTATTGATAAATTTTGATCGTGAATTACGTAATTTTTATACATTCTTGATTTCAATGAATCATAAATAATTTATTAATTAATACGGACACTGATAATGGTATTCAAGTCATTCAAATTTCAAATCAACACACCGTAATCCGGCACAAAAAACGGGAGCCGCACAAACAAACAAACACGTCTAATCCGACTTTTGTACAATAGAAAAATCAATAAATCACTTTCGTTTCTGGGCGCCGCTTTGTTCAGTGTCGGCAACTATGTTACAGCAATTAGAGACACTCTTACCTGCAGGCCGTGGTAATCCTATTAGAGGCGTTCGTAGTCGTGGGCGGTCAAGCTGTGGCTCAGTTCTTTTGTAATTGCCTGTAATTCAATGGCGCTGTTAAGCCGACTAACCGGTTTTGATAAATAAGGAATAATTAGTGTTCTATGCTAGTTTTTAACAAAATTTACTCTAGATTTTATTCATTTTTATAACATATGAAACTCTTAAAATATACAGTACCAATGCAATTATTTACAAAAGAATTCGTATCAAGTGAAAGTAATTATAGTAAAAGAATTAAATCATAATGATACTAACAACTTCAACCTTCATACAAATCAGTTTATGAAACAATTTTCTCATTTAACGCGGTATTGTTTAGTACTTCGCACCCCTACCCTTGAGAGAGAGATGTTTGCTGTAAACTGATTTATCATATCAGCGGAGTTCTAAACAAGCATCATCTTACACGCATAAACCCTCCTATCACCGCAACACTGCACAACATTTTAGACATGAACGTCATAAGCTTGGAGCATATTTTCGGTTAACCAAACCGAAGTATCTTCTTACAACTCTCCCTAAACTAAAGTTACATGTACTTAAAAGTCCATTGAATATTGTGTCTTATATTTCAGTAATAAGTGTTATATTTGTATATCATTGTTTAAAGTCTTGGTGTATTCTGTGTGCTAGGCCAGTGACACGTAGAATCTTGTCTGAGATGAGGGTATGTATCGTCCGGTTTCCGGACACTAGCTGGCCGTAATTAACTAAGTTTCCATATATATTAAAATTTACCATTAGATACTTGACTCTTGATGATGAGAATGATAAAGTTCTGAAACATTGTATTATGTAATTATTTTCAGCCAATAAGAAGATAGTAACTAAAAATATTTCTACTATATTTCTAAATTAATGTCTTTTATTGTCTTATATCATATAAGCTTTAATAGCAAATTTGTCAGTTTAAATTTTAAACAATCCAAAAGTAGTAAAGTAATTAATGGAAAAATAGAAAGTCATTTGAAATTATTCTCTATTTATCTTATTATGAAGTTGAATATTCTTTAATAGATCTATTCAATCTTTTCACATACATATTGAAATCTAATAAACATTTTAAACACACTTATTCATAAACAAAACATTATTTCATTTCTCTAACAACTTATTTCGTCTAATTATATC